AACCTGCTTCTCTGACGTTCCTTTCACGCCTGGGTGCTTTGGAAAGCCTCCGTGCCAAGGACAAGTGTAACGTGATGCTCCTGTCCACAGCAGGGCTGCTGGCCACTTCCCAGCCTGGAACCTGGTCTGTTCTGCCCGCTGCCAACCCAAACCCAGCGCGGCCACCACGAGCCAGCATGCACCCGGCTCTCTGGCTACCCCTGCCCAGGACTCCAGCACTCCCCTGCCCCTGAACGCTCTGAAGCCCTTGATCAGGAAGGCGTACCCCTGAGCGAGGGCACCTGCTGTCTGAAGTCTGAACCCCAGCTTCGTTCCTCCCATGACTTGGTTTCCTCTGTGAGCCCTTGGTTTCCACCCAGGTAAGTAGGGGGATGTCAGCACCTGCCTCATCCAAAGACTCTGAGGTAATGAACTAAAACAGGGGGAAGAATTACAATAACAATGAGGCACCCCTATGCGCCGATCAGAAGGGCCAAAACCCAGAACACGGACCACATCCAGTGTCCGCGAGGATGCGAAGCAGCAGGTGCGCTCGCTCACATCTGAGGGACGCAGACGCGGCAGCCACTCCGGAAGGCAGCTTGGAAGTTTCTTACAAAACTAGCCATACTCTTACACACTCTAGCTATTGTACCTCTTGGTATTTACTCAAAGGACTTGAGAACTTACGACCACACGAACACTTGCACATGGATGTGTCTAGCAGCTTTATTTATAACTGCTAAAACCTGGAAGCAACTCAGTTGCCCTTCAGTAGGTGGGTGGCTAAATAAATTGTGGTCCATACAGATCATGGAATACTATTCAGCACTGAAAAGAAGCGAGCCATCAAGCCACAAAAAGACAGGGAGAAACCGTAAATGCATATTGCTAAGTGATAGAAACCAATCTGGAAAGCACCATAGACTGTATGATTCCCACTCTATGACATTCTGGAAAAGGCAGAACTGTGGTAACCGTAAGATCAGTAGTTGCCAGGGGCTCAGGGGAGAGGGTGGAGCACAGAGGGTCCCTGTGATACTATAATGGCTGTTAGTACGTGGCATTGTGTATGCGTTGAGTGAGCAAGCAAGGCCACCTGTCTGTCCCAGGGATCGTCCACCAGGCAGGCAAAGCCCCGCAGGACATGGCCGCTGGTTTGGAAACTGAGACACCCCAGATTCTCTGAGTCAAGAGCCCCAGAGACCCTGCAGGTCTGGGCGGGAGGGGCGTCTCTGGGCAGGAGAGTTCAGGACACCTGCACATTTGCATTCAAGGGGCCTGAACCCATCTCCGCTTTAGGAGAGATGCTCCACCGGCTGCCAGGGGCCGTTGGGCGTGAGTCAGACCTGGGTGGCACTGCTGTCTCTGTCTCATTGTTTCCATTTCTGTTTCCTTGTCTGCCTGCACTGCAATTCGTTTTATCAGAGAGACCAACGGAAAGCCGTGCCCTGAGGACAGGGAGTCCGGGCTTCACTGGAGGGGGCAGGGACAGAGAAGAATGGGGACACTGTATCCCACCCCACAGCCGCGCTGTGGAGAGGGGACTCAGGAAGAGGGCGCGTGTTGGGACCCAGGTGAGCGGGCTGAGGGACGCAGGTGGAGGCTCAGTGATGATGAGCATGAAGAATATTCGTAACAACCGTTGTTGGCTCAGCATCTACCGTAGGCTCCGCACAGTCCGCCTCCCACCGCAGCCCTCGGGGAGAGAGGTGATCACTGCCCCCGTGTGACAGGCAGGAAGACCGAGGCTCACAGAGGGGAGCGGCTTCCCCACGGTCTCCCACTGGGCACATAACAGTGTGGAGGTTGACGCAGGCCAGCCTGACCCCAGAGCCCTTGTGTTTCCCCTCCACCTTCCGGGGGGCCCCACCCACACCCAAGGCCGTCGCCAGAGGTGTGCTCCTGTCTGAGCCAGCTGTGGCTCGAGACCTGAGCAGGAGGCAGTAGAGTCCCTCAGGGCTGCCCAGTGACCCAGCCTCGCAGGGCACAACTAGCTGCCCTGGCTGGGGCGTGAAGGGCATTTACCCTGATGCCCTTCAGTGGTCCCTCCCTTCCCGCTTGGGCCCCGGGGAGTGAGGCAGAGCCGCACCCGGGCTGTGGAGGCAGCCTGGCAAGGAGGCGGGGACGCAGCAGACACCCGCCCCGCGCTCTGCCCTCCGGAGCAGCTGGGGTGGCTCAGCAAACGCGGCCTCAGTGCCCAGGCAATGATGTGCCCTGTGTCCCAGTAGCCCCAGGATCTGGCGCCTTGCTGCCTGCACTGTGTGGGCTCCCTGTCCCTTCGTAAGACAAATAAATGACAAACAAGTAGGCTGAGAGCGGATCTGGAGCCTCGAGGCGCCTGGTCCTCAAAGCTTCTGGGATCTTCTGTGCATCTGGCTCTGGTCAAGGGGGCCTTTCTCTCTGGCATGGGAACACTCTCGCCTGGCCTGGCTCTGAAACCCCCTCCCCGCCAGGCCCTCTGTGGAATTTTTTTACAGCCGCCCCGGGAGAGCTGCGAGAGGAAGTGCCTGGGAGCAGGTTGGCAGGCAGACGCGGACAGCTGGACCGGTGATCCGGGCAGGGAGACGTGAGGCCCCGGCCCAGCACCGCCCCCAGTGCAGGCTCCCCTGTCCTTCCCTACACACATCGAAAGCACCTACTGTGTGTCAAGGCAGGATTCAGGGCCCCCAGTAACCCAGTCCTGACCCTGCCCTTGAGGTGCTCTTAGGGCAGAGGCTCAGTAAGAACAGTCACTGCAGGCCAGGTGCTTTTTTGAGCACCTACTATGTGCTTGGCGTGCTTCCTGCCTCCTACACAGCACTTCCCAGTGCCCCCAGCAGGTCCGAGGGATCAGCCCCCCTCTTGCCCCCATGTTAGAGATGCAGAAACCAGCACACAGTTGCTGTGATTTCTCCAAGGTCATGCAGTGGGTGAGGGACCAGCAATGGAAGTCCAGACCTCGTGCCATGTGGGAATGTCATCAGCTACGGTGACAACCAATGGTGAGGCCTGAATCCTAGGGAACTGCACCCACAGGCTTGTAAGGGGCCGTGTCTGCTGGGGGCCTGGAGGGAAGGTGAGGGCCCCTCACGAGGCAGATGAGATGACCCAGAGCCAGGAGGTCACACATAGGGAAACTAAGGCAACAGTCAAAAGCTATGGACTAGAAAGAGGCAGCTGGAGAGATCTGAAGAGCCTAGAACTCAGTGGCAACAAGGAGAAACGGAAGGAAGCTGCGGCATCTTGCTTTACCTGCATGAAACATAAGCGCAAGGAAATCAGGGGCCGCCCTTGAACCTGCTCCCTGCTGCCTGTGAGCCGTGTGACCTTGGGCAAGCTCCGCCAGCTCTCTGTGCCTCGGTTTCCCCAAATATAAAGAGGGAACCATATGAGCACCTACCTGCACGGTTCTCAGGGCAGTGCTTAACACGCAGTGAGTGCTTTATGTGTGATTATTAAATTAACAGCCATACTTCCTACATGACAAGGGTACATGCATATAAGTCGAGCAAACTCGAGGATGCAGATCCCTGTTGTTGGGGGGCGGGGAGGCGTGGGAAGCAGGGGTGAGCGGGAGAGAGCAGGTAAAAGCTAAGGTCAGAGGGGGCCCGGGGGGCCTTGGCGGCGGGCCCTGGACCCTCTGCAGCGCAGGGGAGAATAAATGACTGAGAACGACGGGGACGAGCAACGCCGTGTGACGCCCTGGCCTCACGCCTGGGAATGTGCCGGCTGCCACCCCCACGCCGCCCCGCCCAGGCCCCCCGTCACCCTGCTCCATCCCCTCTTTCATTGTCTCCCTGCTTCTCTCTCGGAAAGCGATCTCTGAAGACATCCCGTGGGTCACACGTTCTTCTAGGCACTTGGAGGGGCAAGCGCAGCGTGGCCCAGAGGTGATACTTGCTGGGGTTGAAGGAACAGCTAGGGGACTGTGGTGGCAGAGAGGAGGGTGTGACAGAGTGGAAAGAGAGGCGCCCAGGGATCCCGGGCCCAGGGGCCACGCCACCACTGGGGACTCCGCACTGAGTCAGTGGGCAGGCTCCAGGAGGCCGTAGCCTGGAGAGGGCCATGCCTTATGCGATGTCCCAGGAGCCACCGTGCTGGCTCTGAGCCGCGCGGACAGCAGGCAGGGGGTGGGAGGGGAGGCGGGGGGCAGTCTCCCAGCAGGCAGTCCCTGAGCCCGAGGGAGCCGAACAGGGGCAGAACAGGACCCGTGGGAGACTCCTCACTTGTGTGGCAAGTGCCCAGCAGGGGGTAAAGGCCAGGCACCCCAAACCCAGCAGGGAGAACAATTGCCCGGATACGGGGAGACGGCTCCAGCCCCAAAGGGCCTGGCTTAGGAGCAGGGAAAGGCAGCCCCTGCAAATGAGTAACCACGGCTTCAGCGGGCAGTGGAGATAATGATGTGAACTTGAGTGCAGAGCTGAGTTCCTTGGTGAATGCCTATCATTTCTAGATCGGGAACTAGAAGCCATCCCCTTTGCCGGCAGCCGGGGGAGAGAGTGAAAATGGCAAATGGAAACCAGGAGTGGGAGCAGCTGAAGAAATGAGAGGGGGCTCATTTTCCCCCCTGGGAGAGCTTTCCAAGCCCCCACCGCCCACCAGGGTAACTGTAGCTCCGCCTCCGCCCTGCACCCCCACCCCCGGGGCGTCCCCCGCCCTACCTGTGTGACAGACTCCCCAGGATGACCAGCCCCCTCTGCGAGAATGTGCCGCCCCTGCGTGAAATCACAGCCCTGTAACTTTCCCTTTAAGACTCTCAGAGCCGGGGAGGCCGGCCAAGCCTGGGCTGGAGGTGGGGACAGAGGGAAGAAAGGGGAAAAAAAGAGGGAGAGAGGCAGGAAAAGTTTTTTTTCAGAGGAAAATGCAGGGTTTGTCCTTACCCCTGACGTCAGATCTCACTTTAATAAAACCTCCCCAAGGGCTGCGGGAAGAGCCATAGCTGGTGCTCCTGATGGGCTGGCCAGCCTCAGCCCAGCTGCCCCAGAGCTGCTGTGTCTTCTGGGCTGCTCGGTCGATGCCGTTGCCACTGACTCCCAGGCATGAGGTGGTTCCTGCCCTGGACGCTGGCAGTAGTGACCGCAGCTGCCGCCGCGGGCGGCGCCCTGGCCACGGTGAGTCCTGCTGGGGAGGCTTGGAGAGGGGACCCAGCAGGGTGAGAGGGGTTGGAGGTGGGGGGACAAGGGTGAGGCCCAGGGTGAGCAGGAGGCTGCCTGGGGTCAGCAGATTCTGGCGGGGCGAGGAGGAAGGGGCAACACCTGAAGAAACGGAGTAACAGGTCCTCCTCCGTGCCTCCTTCCACACCTGAAACCGAGCTGAGAGGTAGGCGCCCCAGGAGGTGGGGTCTGGACGCCAGACCCGGCTCTGCCAGGACTGGCTGTGTGACCTTGGGCTAGTCCCTCACCCTCTCTGAGCAGCGTACAGTGAGCAAGTTGTTAGGAGACTCCTTGAGCCTTTGGGTTTGGAAAAAATGAGTCCCCAAGGGTTGGGTGTACTACAGCAAGGGGACATGGAAAATGCCAAGAAAAGCTGGAAAGGAAAATGCCAGCTTTCAACAAAGGAGCCTCCTGAGTAAACAGTGCTCGGGACGATTCCTAGCCCCTGAGCACTGCCGCCTTGGGCGCACACGGTCTCCAGTGTGTGAGGCGTGCACGTTCAGGTCCTACAGATGATGCCTGCTGTTCCAGGGCCTCCTGGGCTTCCCTGTCCCCCACGTCCATCCCCGGGCACACCGAGGGGAAGGGAGGAAGGTCTGCTTCTCTGAGCAGCCAGGGGAGCCAGAGACGTGGCAGCAAGGGGCCAGCCCTCGGGGCTGGGCGTGGGGTCAGGCATGGGCAGGCGGGGGGCAGCTGCACCCCTCAGCCTGGCGATGGCCAGTCAGAAAGCCAAGAGCTGGAGGTAGGATGGCAAGAGGGGCTTTCTTCCCTGTTCACACTGACAGCTTCCTCTGGGGTCCATGTGCCCCATTCATGGATGAGGAAACTGAGGCTTGGGAAGCAAGTAACTTTCCCATGGGCTCCAAGACATGGGTTCTGATTGAACTGGATCTGAGGCTGAGAGCTGACGGCCCACTGCAGGCCAGCTGCCTTGCAGGGGCCGGGGGGTGGGTGCCTCCCGAGCCCCCGTGCAGGGGGAGTGTATCAAGGGCAGGGAGAGTCCTCAGGCTCATTGTTGAATCCTCCATACCTTGCGTGGTGTGTGTCCCCCGCCCCGCCACACACACAATTAACATCTTTGCAAATGAAAGAAACAGAGAGAGGGCAGGTAAGAGGCTTGCCCAGGGTCCCATAATCGACCCGTGGCTAGAGTTCAGACATAGACCTCTCCTGCCAAGTCCCTCTCCTCCTTCCCGAGCTCTCCAAGTCAGGGGGAAACTGAGCATTTCCTGCAGACCAGAAGGAGCCAAACCAGCCCGAACTCCAGGGCTGCTCCGGCTGGGAGGACAGGGGCTGGATGGAGAAGAGGTGACAGCCGTGGCGGAGCAAGGTCTGAGTGACGAGGGGAGGGGACCAGCGTGCCGGGGGTTCCAGGACGCTGGAGCCCCACATGCCTCACAGGGCCCCCGGTGCTGGGAAGAGGGGACGCTGGGCCGTGGGCTCAGCTGCAGGGACAGGCGCAGGACCCAAGAGTCTAGACGGCCCCAGGCAGCAGGATGGAAGGAAGGCTCCTGGGAGGAGGCAAGACACCTCTCCTCTGTGCAGCCCCCGCCTGGGGACCTTCTCTGGGAATCTCATACCACCCACCTGCTCCCTGGTTCCAGAGCTCCCCACACAAGCCCAGCGCTGGACCACTTGGGGCACCCTTACCACCCCCCACCCCTCGGTGACGGCTGCGGGACCGATGGCAACCAGCACCCTGCTTGTAGCCAAACTCCAGCCACAGCCGCCCTCCCCATACCGGCATGTGAACGGAATGCGAGGCCACTGGGTTCCGGCGGGATTCTAATGGAAAAAATGATAGAGATGTTCCTATGGAAGGAAAAGCCTGTGCGAATTGCCAAGAAAGTTTGAGGAAGTGGGGCTGCGAGGGGCAGCCTTGCCATATCGGGTGGTCAAACCTTCTGTAATCGAAGGAGGGAGAGAGAAATCAAGGGGCGAGACAGGCCGCGAGAGCAGGCGCGGAGCCCAGTCTTTTTGGGACGCCGTGCATGATAGAGCGGCCTGGCAGAGACGGCTTGCGTTCCGCCTCTCGGTTCCGTTCTTCCTTCCTCAATGTGCAGTGCCCACCAGGTGCTGAGAGAAAGGGGCTGCATTCAGTGGGCGCTGCCAGGCCCTGGGCCAGATGCCATCTGGAGATAACGAAGACCTTCCTCGGTTCGGCCAATAGGCCCTTATTCAGTGCCTCCTAAAATGCTCATAGCAACACTGTTAAGCAGATGTCATTGTCCTCCTTTGTCGGTGCAAAACCTGAAGCTCAGAGAAGTTAAGTCACTTGCCTAAGGCCACGCAGCTAAGACACGGTGGAGCCCACCTTTGAGCCTAGGTCCGGCTCTCGGCCCTGAGCCCTCGACCTTCACTGCGGTCCACATGTTTGTGCATAGGCGACAGGCTAGAGCTTACAGGCTAGTGGGGCAGATGCCAGCCACCCCTACGATGCAATGAGAGGCAACAGGGCAGCTGTCATCTGGGGAGAGAGGCTGGGGGCAGGCTCTGCCACTGGCCACTCCACCTTCAGCAAGTCCCTTAACGGCTCTGGACCTCCTTGCCTTCATAGCCTCAGCCCCCGCCCGGCTCCCTGCTGCTGGGGAGCAAACACAAGACCCCTTGAGGGTCAGAGCGTGGGACTGGGTGCACAGATGTTGTGCTCACAAGTTCCTGGGCAACCATGAGGCCTTGGGGCACCCCTCCGACTTCTCCCACAGAAACGTATGTGTGGCGTGCGTGGCATGCGTGTGATCGCGGCTTGTCTGAGCACCTACGGGCCCACGGTGCGCGGGAGGGCCTACAGACATCGTGCTGGGGCGAAGCTGCAAACTCGCCCCCCCCACCCCCACACACCCAGGACCCCTGTAGAACAGCCCCGAGGGTGTGGCGCCGCCCTCTTTAAAAAGAGAGAACGGGAGTGATAATGCCTCCGTCACCGCTCCTGTCCACAGTTGGGACCCGAGCAAGCGTGTCAAATCCGCCCTGTGCCCCCAGGCCCACGAGTGTCCTTTTGCTCAGAGCCTCTTTTGGCCACTTGGACGCATGGCTCCAAGCTCAGGGCCCCTCTGCCCACTGCTTGCCTGGGGCGTTGGTGGACGCTCTGCAGGGACCGGCACGTGGTGCCACCTGGCGCGGCCCTTGGCAGCTCGCCCTCTGGAATGGGGACAGAGCCATGCTCCCTGGGAGACCTCGGGTTGGGCGGGCTCCCTGGGCTCACCAGCAGCATGGAGGAGAGGCGCCCCGGCCAGGCCCCGCCCGCAGAGCGGCCGAACACCAGGGGGCTGCCTTTGGCTTTGTACAAACAGCAGGGCAGCAGGAAGGGGTCGCAGCACACGCTGTGGGTTCCATATGGTTCAGGGTGGGTCCCAGGAGGGGCCGGGCAGGATGCCAGCTGCAGTCTGGAAAGCAAGCAGGGGCCAGGCGAGCTCTGTGTGATGCTGCAGATGCCCAGGGGCAGAATGTGGGCACAGAGCTTATTCGCTCCCAGCGCCAGCGAACACCCTGCGCCCCAGGGGCCACGGGCTCCCCGGTGGCCTGAGCACTCTGCGTCCATCAACTCGAAAACCACACGCCGGGGAGGCAAGCAGTGTCCTTACAGTCCAGACCCGCTCGGAGGCTAGTGAGCATCGGACATGTGGCGAGTGCCGAAGGAGCCGTCAGGGTAAATACACGCCGGGTTTCTAAGACTCAGAGCGAATACGAGAATGTGAGATTCTCATTGTAATTTTTTCTATTGACTTCATATTGAAATGATAAGACTTTTCATGTATTGGGTTAAACTAAATACATCATATTTTGTTAAAACAAATGTCACCTGTTTCTTATTACTTTTAGGGTGGCTACCAGAACGCGTCAAATTCCACACAGGGCTCACATTATGGTTTTACTAGACAGCATTAGTTTGGAAAGACACAGGTGTAGACAGGGGAATTATAATAGGCAAGGAGGGGAAAATATTGAGAGTTCTAATCCCAGCTCCTTCACTTATGAGCTGTGCATCCTCAGACAAGTAACGCAGCCTTTCTGAGCCCATGTCTACCTCTGTGAAAGGTGCGATATCAATTCTCACTTCCTGGGGTTGTGGGGGGAATTAAAAAATGGAGAGGAGATAAGACACACAATGGTCCCCGTTGTCCCCGTGGCGGGGGGCGGGGCAGTCCCAGCTCAGGTGGGAACGCTGACAGCAGACAGGGAGCAGAGGTTTATAAAGGCGCGTCTCAGTGCCAGGTGGGTGGGAAGAGAGGCAGGCTGATTGGTAGGATGAGCTGGGCTCCATGCTGGGAGCGTGGGGTCTTCTGAAGCTCCGAAGTTTTCACATCCTGGCCAGCTTCCCCTCACGGTTAGAGAGAGTCAGTGACCCCTCCTGGTTTGCCATGTGGGAGAAAGAAATAGTGGGGGTGGTGACGCTGTGGATGGAGGTGATGAGGATGGTGCTGACGGTGCCGACGGCGATGAAGGTGGTGCTGCTGAAAATGACTCTTACAGGGGAGACTCACGTCTTCTGACCCCGAGTCGGGGCCCTGGTTGCCGACCAGGGATTTCCTAGCCCATCCATATAATTCTTCCAATGAACTCCAACAGCCTGGGTTCGTGCCCAGCCCCTTCCTGTTTCCGGAGATGCGGTGGTGAACGGTTGGCCCTGTCCCTGCCGTGGAGGGTGGCTCACATGCTGGAGGCAGATTTTTACACCAGCCGAGAGGAGTGTGTTGAGGAATCCGAGGGCCGTGGGAGAAAAATACCAGTTCCAGGGCCCTGAGTGTTAACTCCTGGGGAGAACCCCCAGGCACCTGCGTGGTAAGGGGTGCCTTGAAGGTTTTTACCCACAGTTGACTTAAAACACCGTTGAATTCGGTGGACACTAGTCTCTCCTCCAGCCTTGACATTCTGTTAATCGGCAACCCTCCTGCCCCTCCACCTTCTCTGCCTCTCCCTGAGTGAAGCGGGGGGAGGGGGAGGGAGGTAGAATCAGA